TAAAGTGGTTTTTGTAACATTCATATAAAGAGGTTAGATAGTATAAAATATTAATTGATAATTTGCTTCGAATTAAATAAGTAAATAAATAAAAATGTGCCAATATAAACTACAGAACAGAGGACAAATAGAACTCCAGTTAGTCTAAAAATTTTACTAGCTTCCACCCACGACTTCCGTTTGCGGTGTGTTTATGGTCATTTTATCTACTCTTTTTCATCGTGTCATGTTATTATATTGTTACTATGGAGACTTAATTTTCTTGTTGATAGAAACTCAAAAAAATACATTTTTTTTATTTCTAGACATATTTTTATTCAATTGCTTATTTCTTCCCTAAGGATCAGAAACACGGTGTAGTTTCTTTGAACATTTAACAGGAACATAAAATTTTTATTAATGGTAAAAAATGTATGTCTTAATCCGGGTAATCGCATGGCTGTGTAACATCTAAACATACAAACTTTTACATTAATAATCTCTTATCTAATAGACAAGTCCGTCCGTCCGTCGTGCTGTTTCAGCGGCCAAACCGTAAGAGATAGATAAAGAGAATGTTTAAGTTATAAGTTAAGAATAGTCTGATAAGACTACAAACCGGATTTGAGTAACGTAGCACTTCCGGTTTTCGAGAAATCACGTGATTTCTATTTCAAACGAAACCACACAAAATCTCCGAAGTTCTCAATTAATTAAATACATTTTTTTTTGTGAACATTTGGTTCACTGGTTTGCTAGTCCATACTAATAGCCTGGGCAGACGAGGGACTTTTGCCCGCCGAAATAGATAGTTTACAACTGCATCAAGTAACGCACACGACGAATTAAAAATACCGCGAACACAAATGTCTCGAACTACCTCGGACACCGAAGTACAGGTTGCGGCACGTTACTCTAGCGCTGAACAAAACGCGGAGTGGACAGCTGCGCACGCGCATGGGTACGACTAAAGAGCCAATCGGCTTAACGCACGCCCTGTCGCGCAACTCGTTTCCTCGCAACACATCTTAATTTTTGATGTGTAACAGCTTTCCTCTCGCTTTCCTGCAATAGGGGTGATGACGGGGTACAGTAAACGAAATTCTATTTAGTCCGTCAGTTAGATGATCAAAAAATAATGGACACGTATTTTTTCTTTAGGCAATCAACTAAAAAATGACAAAGTTATAGCGCGTCAAAGTTTGGGAGTAGGGGCTCGTGACGTCACTTTTGAGTGAATTTTTACTCATAAGTGTACTCAAACGTGACGTCATGCGACTTTTTAAATCAATATATCTCTGCAATGAATATATTATGAGAAAAAAGAAAACATAAGTGTCCAATACTTTTTGATTATCTACCTGATAAACGAAGAAAATAAAAATAGTCATCATCCCTATTTGTGGGAGTGATTTCGTGAAATGGGACGGAAGTGTGTAACAGTTGTTACACACTTCCGTTTGTGAAGCGCGCGCTTCTTGATTTGATTTCAGAACATAATGTTCAAATGGCTTATTCCTTTTGTAGTAGGTTTTATTTCTTTTTTTACTAATATAAGGTGAGGTTTCAAATGTTACACATCATTCGTGACTACTGTAAGGCTCGCTCGTTTTTTATTATACGGGATCAAAAGTCCTCTGTGGACAAAACCGTCGCCTGCGCAGGCCATAATCGAGATTTCCATATCCATGCTAACATTATAGATGCGAAAGTGAGTCGATCTGTTACATCTGCACGCTACGCACGCAAATTTGGTATTAAGATGGTTTCAGTCTCGGGGATAGTTTTTATCCCAAAAATCATCTTCCACTCCCCTTTCTCACCCCCTTGAAAGATGATTTGGTACAATTACCTGCATAATAATCGCTTCACTCGACGAGCTTGGCTTTCTTCGCGTCGGCGGGTTGTTCCTCGTCGTCTTCCTCTTCGTCTTCCCACTCCCACTCCTGTTCTTCCTCTTCCACTGTCTCTTCCCGCCCTGTAGTCCCTTCTTCCCCAGATTCATCCTCGTCATCCTATAAGGACGTACAAAATCATCATACAAGTATTAGCCTGAGTCGGGAGCGCCAGTACAATATTTAAAAACTAGATCGAGCACAAGTAGAAAAATTCCTAGAGGTGGAACAGTACAATGTGTTTTCAGCCACCCGCTTTGGCCCAAGCAGTGGAGTGGATGTGTTATTTGTATGCTATATACTAATCCGAGGAGTTAGATTGCGCAGGTGGTTAGCGCATTCGGCCATTCGGCTGTGATCATTGAAGTTAAGCAACTTTCGCAGTGGTCGGTCATTGGATGGGTGACCAAAAATCTTCTATCTCGAGCTCCTCCGCGCTTCGGAAGGCACGTTAAGCCGTTGGTCCAGGCTGCATCTGCAGTCGTTAGCACCTGCCAATTTGAAATTTTGTTTCCAACTATAATATTTTGTAATATGACTTATTTGGGTGTACAGAATGCATAGTTTAAGTCTTTGTCATAGGTTTTTTTACACCCTGTATATATAATGTAATTTTATGAACTAAATAGATTTAATTGTGTTGCTCAGAAATGAGAAACAATATTTCGTACACTTTTTCGTGCACAAATATTTTATTTATTAATTGACGGATGTCAAAACCATATCTTTTTCTATGGTCACTCACTATTTTACCGCCTGTATTGAATGAAGGATGATGAACCTCATTTACATATATATATATATATATATATATATATATATATGCGCGAACAATGATGATGATTATGTTTACCTTTGGGCGCGTCATGACGGATATAGGCGGCGCGCGGTGATGTGCGGCCACGCGGCGCTCGATGAGGTACGACACGTATTCGTCGTACAGAAGCCGGATCAAGTGGAACGAGCCGAACGACGCCGCCGACCTGACCATTACATACACATATTATTCATTAAACATTTAAAACATGGATGTAAAGATGGATTTTTTACTTGAAAATCAACGTTGAAGTGCCGAGACCACTGTCAGTTGTTGAAAGGCGGGGACCTGCGTCCGCGTACTGCGGAGCGGTACTGTGCGTACCGTCTCCTCGATTAACACTTACGAGCTAGCGCGCAACACGAATATTTGTATTGCGACACGATTTTAATATCGCGCTGTTAAATATCGAAAAAAAAAATATTACGCCCATAGCGATTTAAAAAATTGTTGGATTGTTCATATTCAACATGGATTTCATAAAAAATAGTTGTCTTGCCTTGCTCCTTCAGTCAGAGAAGAAAGAAGAAAATAATATACCGTGAATTAGCGACTGTCGTGCGAATCCGGTAGTTTGATATCAAATTCGAATTCAGGAAAAAATATAATTTTTTTAGGTGACCCTTACCAACCCTGGACCTCAAAAATTTCAAAAATTGGATTTGTTATCTAATTCGGATTCAGGTTTTTTTTTACTTTTAAGTTTTCAGGCGCGCACGCAGCCCTCCAGCCCCGGCCCCTGCCCCACTACACACCCCTCACCTGAGCGTCAGCTCGCGGATGACGAGCGACGAGTAGAAGGACCAGTCGAGCAGCAGGCGGCGCGCGCGCGCGGTGTAGTCGGCGCGGGCCTCGTGCGGCGCCAGCGCGGCGCGCACGCAGCCCTCCAGCCCCGGCCCCTGCCCCACTACACACCCCTCACCTGAGCGTCAGCTCGCGGATGACGAGCGACGAGTAGAAGGACCAGTCGAGCAGCAGGCGGCGCGCGCGCGCGGTGTAGTCGGCGCGGGCCTCGTGCGGCGCCAGCGCGGCGCGCACGCAGCCCTCCAGCCCCGGCCCCTGCCCCACTACACACCCCTCACCTGAGCGTCAGCTTGCGGATGACGAGCGACGAGTAGAAGGACCAGTCGAGCAGCAGGCGGCGCGCGCGCGCGGTGTAGTCGGCGCGGGCCTCGTGCGGCGCCAGCGCGGCGCGCACGCAGCCCTCCAGCCCCGGCCCCTGCCCCACTACACACCCCTCACCTGAGCGTCAGCTCGCGGATGACGAGCGACGAGTAGAAGGACCAGTCGAGCAGCAGGCGGCGCGCGCGCGCGGTGTAGTCGGCGCGGGCCTCGTGCGGCGCCAGCGCGGCGCGCACGCAGCCCTCCAGCCCCGGCCCCTGCCCCACTACACACCCCTCACCTGAGCGTCAGCTCGCGGATGACGAGCGACGAGTAGAAGGACCAGTCGAGCAGCAGGCGGCGCGCGCGCGCGGTGTAGTCGGCGCGGGCCTCGTGCGGCGCCAGCGCGGCGCGCACGCAGCCCTCCAGCCCCGGCCCCTGCCCCACTACACACCCCTCACCTGAGCGTCAGCTCGCGGATGACGAGCGACGAGTAGAAGGACCAGTCGAGCAGCAGGCGGCGCGCGCGCGCGGTGTAGTCGGCGCGGGCCTCGTGCGGCGCCAGCGCGGCGCGCACGCAGCCCTCCAGCCCCGGCCCCTGCCCCACTACACACCCCTCACCTGAGCGTCAGCTCGCGGATGACGAGCGACGAGTAGAAGGACCAGTCGAGCAGCAGGCGGCGCGCGCGCGCGGTGTAGTCGGCGCGGGCCTCGTGCGGCGCCAGCGCGGCGCGCACGCAGCCCTCCAGCCCCGGCCCCTGCCCCACTACACACCCCTCACCTGAGCGTCAGCTCGCGGATGACGAGCGACGAGTAGAAGGACCAGTCGAGCAGCAGGCGGCGCGCGCGCGCGGTGTAGTCGGCGCGGGCCTCGTGCGGCGCCAGCGCGGCGCGCACGCAGCCCTCCAGCCCCGGCCCCTGCCCCACTACACACCCCTCACCTGAGCGTCAGCTCGCGGATGACGAGCGACGAGTAGAAGGACCAGTCGAGCAGCAGGCGGCGCGCGCGCGCGGTGTAGTCGGCGCGGGCCTCGTGCGGCGCCAGCGCGGCGCGCACGCAGCCCTCCAGCCCCGGCCCCTGCCCCACTACACACCCCTCACCTGAGCGTCAGCTCGCGGATGACGAGCGACGAGTAGAAGGACCAGTCGAGCAGCAGGCGGCGCGCGCGCGCGGTGTAGTCGGCGCGGGCCTCGTGCGGCGCCAGCGCGGCGCGCACGCAGCCCTCCAGCCCCGGCCCCTGCCCCACTACACACCCCTCACCTGAGCGTCAGCTCGCGGATGACGAGCGACGAGTAGAAGGACCAGTCGAGCAGCAGGCGGCGCGCGCGCGCGGTGTAGTCGGCGCGGGCCTCGTGCGGCGCCAGCGCGGCGCGCACGCAGCCCTCCAGCCACGCCGCCCACTGCTCCAGCGTCGCGCCACGCCCCAATGTCGCCTAAACACACATTATCATTACGTCATCATTATTTATTTATACTTTATTGCACAAATGAGTGACATTATCATTTATTTGGACCCAGAGATGTGTCCGGAAGTGAATTTTACAAAGAGTGTTTACCTTGAAGTCAGCTTCGAGTCGGTGCGCAGTAGCTGCGCTGCCACAAGAGCACGCCCAGGCCGCCTGCTCGCGGACCACTCGGAAATCCACGCGATTCAGATCCGACAGCATCTGACAAATTCACCAATGAGCTTCAGTTTAATTATTTATTACCGATTAGTACATGAAACTAAACAATAAATAATATTTTAACACTTGCTAAGATTGCAAGTGAACGTAACTGGCCAATCTACTGATGTAAAATTAAAATTAGTTTTTTTTCATATATATTTTTTTGTAAAGATATTTCTTTAACAGTGTGGGTTACCGACAATACCGATATTAGGAGAAATTCGTCACGGCCATTAAGACCGCGGTACCATATTTTGTCACTGTATCTGTCCAGATAGCGGAGGGTGCGGGTTCGCTGTCTGGCTGCGTGGAATTTGTTACTAGTAAAATTTTCTTTAGATTTCGGGTTTTTTGCGCCGTAGTGCGGCCGCTAACGCCGCTGCTGCCGCCGCTGTGCTCGCGGATGACACGCGTGCAGCACTCGCCGGTACCTGCTGGATCTGGTGATGGTTGGCGAGCACGGCGCGCGCGGCCTGCGCCAGGTGGTTGAGCGACGTATAGCGCCGTAGTGCGGCCGCTAACGCCGCTGCTGCCGCTGCTTGCGCCCGCGCCGCTGCCGGCGGGGCGTCAGCCGCGCCTGCTGCTAACGCCGATTCTAGACTCTTGGCGAAGTTCCGGATAGCCTGATAGACATGATGAAAATAACAATATGTAATATTTGCGACTGAAAATAATTTTATAATGAATTATGATTCTCCTTTTTTCTTGTTATTATTTGATTATTTTTATTAATTGTGTCAAGCATTTATTTGTTATTGGTGTGTGAAGGATTCCACGGACTCGGTATGCCGCCACTTAAATCGAACACTTATTCTAAGTATACTTTTATTATTTGCCGTCTAACGGTGGCAGCGCCGCAGAGCCCGCACGGCACCAGTACCTGCGTCAGCTGCGGCGGGATGGGGCGCAGCACGTCGGGAAGCAGCAGGTCGACGCACTGCTGGTGCAGGCGAAGGTCGGCGGCGCGCAGCCAGGCGGCGCCGGCTCGCAGCGCCAACAGGCGGCGCGACCCGGAGCCCATGCGTCTCCAGAACGCGCGCCGCGACCGCTCCACCGCGCCCGTGTCCAGCGCCGCAACCGCCTCCAGGAACTCCGCTCCGTGCGCCCTGCATCACACATAACAGACATGTATTATTCCGAGACGATGAATTCAGTCTAGGTTCTAGGTACAGTTGGAGAGGATCAAGCACGAGTTTTGACAGCTCTGTAAAGTAACCTAAGCGCCAAAGTTTCTATGAAAACTAAGCAGTACCACCTGTGATGGTCGCGCAGGGTGCCCAGGTACTGGCGGTGCGCGCTGCCCGCGGCCCCGTGACGTCATCCCCTCACCTGTGGTGGTCGCGCAGGGCGAGCGGCGCGACGAGCGGCACGTCGGGCGGGTGGTGGTGCAGCAGCAGCGGCGGCGAGGAGGGCGGCGCGGCGGTGCCCAGGTACTGGCGGTGCGCGCTGCCCGCGGCCCCGTGACGTCATCCCCTCACCTGTGGTGGTCGCGCAGGGCGAGCGGCGCGACGAGCGGCACGTCGGGCGGGTGGTGGTGCAGCAGCAGCGGCGGCGAGGAGGGCGGCGCGGCGGTGCCCAGGTACTGGCGGTGCGCGCTGCCCGCGGCCCCGTGACGTCATCCCCTCACCTGTGGTGGTCGCGCAGGGCGAGCGGCGCGACGAGCGGCACGTCGGGCGGGTGGTGGTGCAGCAGCAGCGGCGGCGGGGAGGGCGGCGCGGCGGTGCCCAGGTACTGGCGGTGCGCGATGCCCGCGGCCCCGTGACGTCATCCCCTCACCTGTGGTGGTCGCGCAGGGCGAGCGGCGCGACGAGCGGCACGTCGGGCGGGTGGTGGTGCAGCAGCAGCGGCGGCGGGGAGGGCGGCGCGGCGGTGCCCAGGTACTGGCGGTGCGCGATGCCCGCGGCCCCGTGACGTCATCCCCTCACCTGTGGTGGTCGCGCAGGGCGAGCGGCGCGACGAGCGGCACGTCGGGCGGGTGGTGGTGCAGCAGCAGCGGCGGCGGGGAGGGCGGCGCGGCGGTGCCCAGGTACTGGCGGTGCGCGCTGCCCGCGGCCCCGTGACGTCATCCCCTCACCTGTGGTGGTCGCGCAGGGCGAGCGGCGCGACGAGCGGCACGTCGGGCGGGTGGTGGTGCAGCAGCAGCGGCGGCGGGGAGGGCGGCGCGGCGGTGCCCAGGTACTGGCGGTGCGCGATGCCCGCGAGCCCGGCCGGCGGTGACGCCGCCTCGCCCTCGCCTTCGCCCGAGCCATCGCCCGCGCGCTCGCGCGACCGCTCCCGGGAACGATCCCGATCCTCCTATTATCAAATAAACAACAGAGGTTTAAACTTTCGTGGTCACTAACACTATCGTGTTATACAGACACTGTTACGCGCGCCATGATCACGGAGTTTGCAACAGTGCCGAAATATCGGAGACTTGCAAAAAACAAGGTAAATGGTAGCAATCACGCTAATAACGAAAAAAATACCCTTTATTCCAATCACAAGAAAATATAAGAAATGACTGTATAAAATGATTTCTTCTAAACACATCCATTTCAAAAGAGCTAGTTTGTTCTCTGTTCAGAGGAACCAAAACGACTTTTTAATTTGTACGGGTTTTGTACACCTTTTATGATATAGAGAGAGAAGAGAAAGTCTTGATATGTTTAAATGATATATTACTGATAACAAACTGATAATTACGAAACGAAAATGATATGACTGTGAGAACGCGTGGTACGAATAATGACCGATGACGAACTGATTCATAATTAACCTAAATAAATGCATGTGGCGTAAAATGCCGACGGGGCAAAATGTACGCGCTTGCTCGTACATAATTCCTAGGAACTAAGTGATTTGATATAGGATGTACCGAAGCGACGCGTACGCAATCCGACGAACACCGAGCGGATAAGTTTGTCGAAGGATTCAATAACTCACTTGGGACACACTGAGTCCGATATCGCTGGATTCAAGAGCGGGCGGCGAGTCGTTGGCACTCGCTTGTCATCGCTGGAGTCGAGCGCGGGCCGCGATTTGTTGGCACTCGCCTTCGCCCGTATATCGTAGTATTAGTACCTCAAGTTGCCGCAAGCGCCCAGGGCGTACGCAATCCGACGAACATCGAGTAAATGAGTTTGTCAATGGATTCAGTAACTCACCTGCGGCTCACTGAGATCGGTCTTGTCATCGCTGGAGTCAAGCGCGGGCCGCGATTTGTTGGTACTCGCCTTTGCCCGTATATCGTAGTATTGGTACTTCGAGTTACCGCGAGCGCCAAGGGGCCGCGTATGCAATCCAACGAACATCGAGTAAATAAGTTTGTCGAAGGATTCAGTAACTCACCCTCGGCTCACTGAGATCTGTCTTGTCATCGCTGTAGTCGAGCGCAGGCGGCGAGTCTTTGGCGCTCGCCTTCGCTCGTATACCGTAGTATTAGTTCTTTGAGTTGCCGCCAGCGCTGAGGGGCCGCGTGTACGCAATCCGACGAATATCCAGTAAATGAGTTTGTCGAAGGATTCAGGTACTCACCTGCGGCTCACTGAGATCGGTCTTGTCATCGCTGGAGTCAAGCGCGGGCGGCGAGTCGTTGGCGCTCGCCTTCGCCCGTATACCGTAGTAGTGGTATTTCGAGTTGCCGCGAGTGCCGAGACGACGCGTACGAAGCCCGACGAACACTGAGCGAATGAGTTTGCCGAACGACGCAGCGTTCACCGGGTCGAGACGGTGCGCCGTGCAGTGGCGCAAATAGTGAGAGTAAAGCGTCGACCGGGGCAGCGATACTCCTGAACCATAATTGAAAAAGAAAATATTTTCGATTGAGTAACAATTAACAAACCTCATAAAAATATTTAAATAATAACTTTAGAGACTAATGTTGTGCCAATAAATGTATAGATATTGCTGTATGCACCTTAAAAAATAATTCAAATAGATATGTAAGACCTATTTGTTTTGCTTTCTATGTAATAATTGTGATATTGTTATTGGTGTGTCATATAAAATAAATAATTTATTAAATAAATTTTTCAAAGAGATTTTTCTCGTAAAACTCACTTGGGACTCAGCAGAGGATTTGCTACATTATTACAACTAAAAGCATCTATTCAATGGGATATTTGACAAGTTAAAGAAAACGATCTCACGTTTATAACTAATTTTTATGTAGTCCATATAAAGTGGATATTCACTTCTTTTAAGTATTTCAGTAAAAAAACTAATTTAAAAATTCATTTTCAACATGTCGCGTAAACGTTTCTCTGGACATTACGGCGTCTCACTAACATGTACGTTACACGACCTTCATTAACAGGTCAAAAGATATATTGTAATATCACTGTGACAGCGAAGTTTCTAGCGTGAGCCGTCATCCGTCATTTTAGTCTTCGCTTCGCCATTCACGGTCACGTGACCACAAACGGAAAAAAAACATTTCTATTTTTTTTTTAGAAAATTTATTAATTGTTTGTTTTCTCAGAATAGTCAAATCGCTGCTAATATTCCTATTATATACAGATGCCAACAATTGGTGCTTTATTTTTCATACTGTCAAATACCCTATTATATAAAGCATAAAGTATAAAGTTTATCACATATTTAGAACTTTAAGTATATCTTGTTATATGTATAAAGCAAAACGCAAGGCAGTATAATAATAAAAAAGCCAAGTATAATAACTGAGTAACGCCACAGTGGTGACACAATCTCCGGAAAACCTGTTCTTAGTCGGCCTGTAGTGTGTAGCATATAATAGTATAGATGTAATGTATGTAGTATTAATGTTCGCGTAGAGTTGTTGCTTTTTTATATATATTGATCCGACAAATGACTCCGCCCCACCTGATGTTAAGTGACGGTGAAGTCCAGACGTGAAGATAGCTGGTACAGCAGTTCTACCTGCCACACCAGCCATCCTCACCTTGCCCGCCTACATGTTGCTTCTTCACGCCTCTTTTAAAGGATCCCAAGTTGTAAGAAGGAGGGAACACGTGAGCGGGCAGAGCATTCCATTTTCGGATAGAGCGACAAAGAAATGAATCACCAAATTTCTTTGTACGCGTTGGAATTGTGGCACAGTTAGACGGTCGACGGACGATGATGTGTTGATATGTCAAGGGCAGTGTAGGAGGTAATGTTGCGCTTATAATATTAGCGAGTGCAGTATATTGTTACCTTCGAGGAGGAACTCAATGGCGCTGGTGGTTTGCGCGATCTGTTCAAGATCGTGGAAGTTAAGCAATTTTTTCAATGATTAGTCTTTGGATAGTCGACCAAAATCTTATTATCTCAAGCTCCTTCGTGCTTCGGAAGGCCCAGTTATTAGCCTACACCAATCTGCACTAGTTGGGCGTGTTAAATCACGGCCCAATCTCCTTATTCCATCCATAGGCCATCCTATATTGACAACGTACGTGGCCAAGTGGTTTGTACGCTGGGTTTCAAGGTGTTACCTACTCGAAAGGTTCTCCCACCGGGACCTTTTGTGTGATGAATACGAGCATTTGTATTGCAGTCATGGATGTTTAATATGTATTTTTATCTAAATATATGTTTTCGTAGCACAAGATTACAATGCTTACTTTGGGGCTAGGCTAATTGGTGCGAGTGTTGGAAATATTTATTAAATGGAAAAGGATATATTTGTTCCTAATGAAAGCAATCGGGAGACCGAAGCTTTCATCGCGAAGGCACATTCCGATGAACGTCGATATAGACATTTAATTTTCGGTCTACCATCGATGAAGCATCGATAATGAAGCAAAAATGAACCGTCTAATTTGAAGAAAATATAACTAGAAAAAATTCCACGCAGACCAGGTAGCAGACAGGACTCGAAACTGCACCCTTCGCAATCCGGGCGAATGCGGTCAGTGCATTCGCCCGGATTGCGATGGGAATTAAGGTACCGGGCCCTGACGGCCGCGTCGAAAATTCTTCTAGCCATTCTTAAGCTGCAAGGCAGCGCCATTTCTTCGCATTGTAGGTAACCCACAATGTCAAATGAATACTTTTACAAGTTTAGATTTAAACATCAAGCAGTTACATGCTTAAAAAAATAAAATTATCTCTTATCTATTAGACGAGTCCGTCTGTCCGTGGTGCTGTTTCAGCGGCCAAACCGTAAGAGATAGATAAAGAGAATATTTAAGTTATAAGTTAAGAATAGTCTGATAAGACTACAAACCGGATTTGAGTAACGTAGCACTTCCGGTTTTCGAGAAATCACGAATTTCAAACGAAACTACACAAAATCTCCGAAGTTCTCAATTAATTAAATACATTTTTTTTTTAAATCAGGTTTTGGTGAACATTTGGTTCGCTGGTTTGCTAGTAACGTCTAATTTGAGTTTTACCTTCAGCTGTCTCGTAGTGGTCGAGCAGCCACTGCACAGTAGCGGGCGGCATACGCACTTGCGGGCCGGCCGCGGGCGTGGCGGGCGACGCCGGCGCCTCCGCTTCATCTCCGGCCACCTGCATTATCATTCATACAATATACCCAAGGTAATGGCGAACAAAACTTGCAATTTATCCCACCAGAGCCCCAAGCACGAGTTTTCAAAGCTCCGTGGCGTATCGTCAGACCACTCTTTCCCAGTGGGCACTTTGGGCAAGTGGCCAGGACCCCCCTTCAGATCAAATACAAAGTCCCTAGTTCCTGTTAGAACACCAAACGATAACCAATATTTGTTACCAAAACACTTATATAATTCGATGAAATCGAACCTAAATCACTGACTACAATACCAACTTACTAGCTTTTACATAAGCGATGCTTTTCTACTCTCGCCCAAAAATAGGCTTTCCGACTTCAGCATGCTTAGATAAATTTAAATATACATATAATGGTATACTAAGCATGTGCTTAGTGTATGTACACATTTTAAAGAAAAGTCATCAGTATGACTCGCTCCATTTCAAGTCATAATCCACATGAAAGTCATAGGGGTCCCATTATCCTAATATGCCCAAGGTACCCAATAGGTTAAAGACGGCCCTGCGTATCGTATTGTCAAAGTTTCTATGAAAACTAAGCAATGCCCCTATCAGACACAAGAACAAACTAGCTTTTTCCATTAAAAATTTCTCGATAACGATACTTTACGGAGATGTAAAAACAAATTGTGACCGCTGTCAAAGTTACAAGGACAACCGACAACTTCCAATAGACTTGGGGTGCGTTCCAAACCTACGCTCCAGGTGCAACAAAGGTCAAATTTGACATAACTTTCATACATTTTATGTCAAAATTGAATTACAGACTAAAAAGTTGCAAAGAACGCAGCCTTGAAGCGACAGGTTGTTTGTTATGGGCCAAACGGCCAAAGCCGTAAATGTTTATAATCAAACACTGTACGACGCAACGCTTAGTTGACCACGCTAACACAGTACACCAGAAAGTTAAGTTCTAAGTTGTGTAGTAGTTGAAGGAAATTCACTTAGAAATTATCACTTATTTATTGCATAGTTAGATGGTTACAGTAACACAGTTATTTTGCTACTAAAATTAAATACAATTTATTTACTTAAGAAAATTATGATATGTTATATTTATTTGGAGCATCGCGCTCCGCGAGACTGCTGAGCATACATTTCACACGTAATGTGCGGTGTAAACCGTCCATACACAAAATATACTAAGTTCAAAAAAGTTTCACATTTGCCAATTTCAAAATTGTTCCTGACTTTAAATTTAAAATTAAGAGAAAAAGGATTTTCTGGTTTTGTTACCAATAAGTTATCAATAAGTTTGCCCTAGGCATTATGCCTACCATAATAACCAGAATATTTGGGGTATCGCGATGTACTCATGTAGCCAAATCTCCGTGAAGCCTCTTGGCTTTCGAGCGAAGTTATATAATGTTATTTTGCTGTCGGTAAACTCTCGCTTAGGAAAGGCTAAAAAAATTATGACAACGTGAATGATGCAAATGGGTTAGATTAATAAAAAATATGAGTATGAAATTACGAGGCGGAGCTAATTTAGATAAAATAATTAAAATGAATATAATCAAATGTATCTGTAATATATACGGAGCAATCGCTTCGTCCATTTTGTTTCTTTCTTTGTAAGTATTATCGCGGCGACTTCCCGAAGTAACTCACAAAGACGTATGCACTAAGGAATGCAATCTCGGCTATTTTATACCAAGATTAATGTCGGCCAAAAATCGGACGAGATCTCGCGAGGTTAACGAGATTGCACAGGAGCATTAATACATGTATCTCGTAGCAAGCAGGAGCGCGAACTGACTGACGACGACTTAACTAGTATAGAAGCTGAAACAGCATTCTCTGCAGGTGGTTATTTTGGCTTTCAAAATTAGAAGCTAAGTCAGACGACACTTTAAATACTGTGCGCTTTTTGCGAAGCTATTTCCAAAATTTATAACAAAAACTTTATATTCTTAACTAACTAAAAAGAAGATTTAACAAGTAAATGATAATTTTTATATTACTTACATAAAACTTCTTATTTTTCTTACAAAAATCCTATTATTGTGACAGTTTGTAAAAAAAAATACGAAAAAATACACCAGTCTTGAATTCCAAGATTGCATTCTTTACATAGAATGCACTTCGTTATTAGCCAGACGACGTTTTCTCGCACGATTATCAACCGTGTGTATGTGTGTGTATGTGTGCGTGTGCGTTAGGGTAACCCACCTTTTTTTCTATCAAATATAGTATTTTTGAAACGGTTACCTCTAAAAATATAGTAGAGTTCAAAAGATAGTACGTATATGGTTAAAATATTGACTTTATTTTTGAAATGAACCTATTTTGCTGCTCTGTGCCTTACTACTATATATTTTAAGAAAGCTTTTACTGGCAAATATCTGCTTTAAGCAAAATATAATAGTTTCGACTACTATATATTTCTTTTTAAGAAATATAGTAATACTATATTGTATAGTAGGGTTGGCAACCCTAGTGTGTGTTTGTGTATGTGCGTCTGTGTGTGCGTGTGTACTGACCACGACCCCGTAGGTGGTGTACTCGGCGGTGGCTCCGCCGGCCCAGGAGCTGTTGGCGTGTGTGTGTATGTGCGTCTGTGTGTGCGTGTGTACTGACCACGACCCCGTAGGTGGTGTACTCGGCGGTGGCTCCGCCGGCCCAGGAGCTGTTGGCGTGTGTGTCTATGTGCGTCTGTGTGTGCGTGTGTACTGACCACGACCCCGTAGGTGGTGTACTCGGCGGTGGCTCCGCCGGCCCAGGAGCTGTTGGCGTGTGTGTCTATGTGCGTCTGTGTGTGCGTGTGTACTGACCACGACCCCGTAGGTGGTGTACTCGGCGGTGGCTCCGCCGGCCCAGGAGCTGTTGGCGTGTGTGTGTATGTGCGTCTGTGTGTGCGTGTGTACTGACCACGACCCCGTAGGTGGTGTACTCGGCGGTGGCTCCGCCGGCCCAGGAGCTGTTGGCGTGTGTGTCTATGTGCGTCTGTGTGTGCGTGTGTACTGACCACGACCCCGTAGGTGGTGTACTCGGCGGTGGCTCCGCCGGCCCAGGAGCTGTTGGCGTGTGTGTCTATGTGCGTCTGTGTGTGCGTGTGTACTGACCACGACCCCGTAGGTGGTGTACTCGGCGGTGGCTCCGCCGGCCCAGGAGCTGTTGGCGTGTGTGTCTATGTGCGTCTGTGTGTGCGTGTGTACTGACCACGACCCCGTAGGTGGTGTACTCGGCGGTGGCTCCGCCGGCCCAGGAGCTGTCGGCGTTGGCGTCGGCGCCCGCGCCCACCGTCGTCACGCCGTACACAGGGTAAGTGCGCAGCGTCTCCCTGACAGATATATTAACATTCCTTCATTCAATGAACACACTAAAATAACACTACCTCATAGTAGGATCAAATAGGGGACAGTTTAACAAGGGGCACAGTGTAACATAAGACATATCTCTGTATGATAGCCGGCCATTTGTCGTCTGAAGACAGCTGCTTAAGATGTTGACATATGAAACTAATAAAACACGACAAGACAGGCCATGGACAAATAAGAAAAAGGCAGAGATATTCCTAATGTTACACTGTCCCCCACTTTAGCCTAGGGTTTTGTTTCTGTGAATGAGTAAGGATCCAGTTTTCCATGTGGTAAAGGTAACGGAGTCAAAAAATGCTGTGTTATTGCGCAATGCCACAAAAAGAATAAACAGAAAGCTTCAACTGTTTTAAGTTTCTCGATAAAAATGAAGTCAGACTTTAATTGACATAAATTGGCAATTTACAATGACTACAACAGTAAAAAATTTGATCATTTTCTGAATAAAGAACCATTGAATACTATTGAATAAGCTAACGTATCTTTATGCACCACTTCAGGACATGTATGTAGAGAAGAACAAGCGAAAACTCCACCACATTAAAGAAACGAGTAAATTACGTCACTTATAGATAAATATACGTCGTTACAGTATGAAATCAATACTGTCAAGATAAGTTATTAAAAATGTTGAGGAGATAATAGCGCACGCAGGTAGTTAGCGCAGTCGGCCTGCAATCATGAAAGTTAAGCAACTTTTGCAATGGTCTGTCATTGGATTGGAGAACAAAGAAAGCACCCGTTCACGAGCATGGCGTGTGAACCAGCAATATATCAAGAGTCAAGACAATAGACCGTTTTTTGACCGACCTTCTTTCCGCATCTTGCCACTGTCATATGATAGCAAATATTTTGTGTAATTAGTTACAAGAAAATTATATTATCAAGTTAAGATTGGAACTGGAGCTCTACTCTCTTTCTCCGAAACGAAATTTCGGTAACGAACGAATTTCAAACAAAATTTCGCCAGTGTCTCTACTCTATTTCATTTTCGAACAGGCACATTAACTTCGGAACCATAAACAGTTTTCGTGAACGAATGGAATGAGTCATGTTTGTGAGTTCTTTTTATCTCTACTTTTAAGAAAACGTTTTTTTTACTTGAAAACAATATAGGTAGTTTACGGCAAATTTTTTGATGACATTAAAAGAACCTTCTTTGACAGTGTTAGCCGATTAATTTGTAGAGTCGATACAATCTACTGTATGTCAACCTCAATTTGTCGTTTAATACTTTGAAGTATCGAAATTACAAAAAATAATAAATAAATGGTTTATTTATTAATTTTACATGCTAAAAATGTTACTCGAGCTAAGCAGCTATTATTAAAAATACTCTTGCAAGTATTTTAGGCTTAATTAAAACAAAAATCTCAAAACGAAAATGAAAAGGTAACACTTTTCATTTCGTCGATTTGAGGTTAAAATTTCGAACAATTATCTGTCAAATTCAACTTTTCCTTCGAAAGTTTTGTGAATTAGAGTAGGCTTGGAGAATTTAATTGTCAAAATATTTAGGACGAACGAATTTTCGAAATGAAAAGGAAACAGAGTACGGAACGTGCGAAATTTCGATCGAAATTTCGTTTTTCGTTGAAATAGAGTAGGCCTCCTGGTACGGACAACTTGATCAAACTCTCTAAAAATATTTTAAAAAGAAAGGGTAGCCGGAGGGCCGAAGATTGCAAAGCACACCATTGCAATGGTCTGATCATATATATGGTACAGACTTCTGTTTCCGGAATGACCGTGAGAAGACGGTATTAGTCAAGAAGTAAGTGCCAGACTTGGCATCATCACCATGCAGGTATTGAAAGTGAGAATGGCTGTGAATGAATGAATTATGTGGCAGGTAAAACTGGCGCACCATCTTTCTAAAGGTGAAGCCAAACGAGAATATTTTTTTGAGTTGTGAGTCGCGTTATTTCAACTACGAGTACATTCGGTTTCATAGAAAAGTCCCGTTTGATTCACACCGCGTCACAAAATATGACAGGACTTTTCTTTGAAACGGAATGCAGCTGAAATCACGCTACTCGCATATGAAGAACCTTTAGCGTCTGGATTCCACCGTCACTTAATATAGGTAAGATAGATTTATTCCGGACCTATTCATAAAAAAGAACATCTACCAGATCTTAGTCGCATTCCCAGACGAAGAACTTTTCAGTATTATTTCAGATCTGAGAGGTTCAGTTAACTTAATTATTTAATAGTTTGCATGAATGACTTCGTTATGTATTTACAAGTCAGATCAGGAAAGTGTATGTGATGTTATCCTATATTTATTTTTGAAGTATGTATGAATACATTTTAGTACAATAAATATTTTGTTACGTGTAAACTGAAGTTATATGTATTTCTGGAAGATTTGTTGTGAAATTCCTACAATCAAAAACAAGGTAAAGTGAACGATAGGATCTGAAAAATATTGAATATGAAAACTTTAAAAGCTGAAAGTGCGATTAATATTGGAATAAAATTCTACAGAAAAAATCCGCAGGAGAATACGGCAATGGATGGAGCTAAAAACTATTTGGGTAGCTCATCTTTTGTTTATTTTTAAAAAGTATCTCGCACAGAAATCTTTAATCTCTTTGTTTGAATTTCCTATACTATCATACTTACATCTGTGGCTGATGACCTTGAGTGTAGATTTCCTGGGGCTCCACATACTGCACATGATAATTGACTCCGTTACCGCCCTCGCCTGTAGATAACGTCGAATATGGTTAAGACAACTCCTAATGATAAAAAATTTAAAAAGCCCCGCGTTCCAAATGGTTAGTTGGTTGAAGTAGTGATAGATTATTTACAGAGAACCGATGTTATTTAGCACATGTACTGGCGGTTAGAAACAAATCTCACGCGAGTCCAACAGAGACTGAGTGGATCCTGTAATTATGAGAAACCTAAGGCAAAGGGTGGCACTCACAGGGGTAATACGAGCGGTAGCGAGGCACCTCCATATCGCCGGAGATCTCCCAGGCAACTTGCCTCTGGACCACACTTCCCAGAAACACGCACCGACCTTACAGACACCTGTCCCTCTCTAACGGTACACATCTCACTCTGGCGACCACCTCACCCCACCTGTTTTTTTGATCATTGTAAAAGAGATGTAAGCGATATAATTGCAAACTTTCCCCTTTGTGTAGTATTTATTGGCCATGTACTAAGGTATTATGACACAGGATGTTTTATTTTTAGCAGATTATGTTTCCGAGACTTCAGTTGACTTTAAGAGTTTTACACGAAGTACCTAAATGAAATTACAAATAGTTGTCATAAATATCAATATTTTTTTTCTGAACATACTTTGTTTCTTCCATTACTTTTTTGTTTTTATTCGCATTTCCCAAATAAAGGATTTAACTTGAAAATATTGTCGTTACAATATATTCGCATACTATTAAGGATCTTATGAACGTCGTAGTACATAATAACTACATTTTATAACCGTTAAGATCCGTTAAAACATCTATTTCATTATAACATTATAAATGAAAATATTAAGACCTATATATAAATTAAGTACCTACCTACATAAAACACTGACAAATATTTGTTAAAAAGGAGCCTCCCATCAATGCTAGACACATAAATGGACGGGCGAAAGCGGCGCGCGGCCGGCACGCGTCATATCAAAGGTAACCAGCCAGCAGGTGCGTGCGGGCACAATACGCATCACCCGAGACAAGCATTCACTGCGATCACTCAGGTAGATAATCCGACGGGGGCACCAACAATTATCCCCCATTATTAACATTTATAAAACATCCCTTACACTATTTAAACATTATGCCGAAATCATACCAATAAACAACAACATAAAGATCAGTTTCGCGTATAGATGCAATTTTTAATAGTCTAATAGGAAAACTTAATATGGTATCATCTGTCAGGTAGGAGATAATCAGATTGAGATGCAACGTCAGAGGGTGTGATTTATTGTGTTCTGTTTAGTAGATCATCAAAGGTTTCGAGAGATGTTTGTTGTGATTTGTGCGTACGGAAACGGTTTCTGGGAGAATACGGCCTTAGAGACAGAATAAAAAATAAAGTATTCTTCTTCTTATTGAGAGTAACTACCGGCGAGACAGAAGCCCCAGAAAAGAAAATGTAAGTCACATTAAAAAAATACCTTGTTAAAATAACGTTATTTGTTAATTGATATGTTTTTTGTTGAATAATGTAGCTGTAATCAAACCACTCGGTAATTTTTAGCATGTGTGTAGCTTTATTCCAATACATAGTTAGGCATATGATACATGAACTTGTTTTGTTAGTTGAAACAGAATGAATATGCCGTCGTTATATCAATAACATCAGCATGTTTTCATAAATATTTAGATCTAAAATTAAGAATATAAAAACATTATTATTTTTGAAGAGCCATTTTGTATCTCCAATGTTATAGTAGATAAATAAATAAGAAAATATCTCAAATATGAAATAAGTAAATATTTTTTTTTTATTTAAATCATATATATACAGCACTACAACCTATATTAGCCAATCACATAAAGTATCATTAAAAAACCTACATAAAATGTGATGATGACAATTGACATCATTTAGGTGTAATGTAATTAAATAATTTCGATGGTAACATAAGTTATCTTTAGGACAAATTCTTTATGGTGTGTTAAAAGCGAATTAACCGATATCCACCAAGCCATAATTGTTAAAACGGCCAGTTTCAATAATTAATCTCCAGTTAAAGATAATCTTAATCTGCATTCGTCTGCATCTAAGCAACTTAGTTCTATCTAATAATAGGGCCACAATATAACGATAAAAAAAATTGCGTTGTCGCAATATGTCTGGCCAAGCAATCCATCCTATTACTACGAATATGTTACTGAAACCGGCTATTAATCTGCGAGGTTAAGCAAATTTATTAGCTTTACATTTGGATTAGACAAGTTAGCGGGAAAGTAGGCAAAAACTTTGAGCCAGCGGTCAAAGCTGGACATAAAGGAAGCATGCACAAGCTCTTACAAAGTGAATGGGACTTGCTTTCGTGGTCACTGAGCTCCTCCTTGATGAGCGGCGAGGCGCGCCGCCACGCGCCCTGCACTGTGCGCGCCACAACAAACACATCACTAACGACCGTACTCAGAGACTTCAATCAATTTAATGTCATTTAAAGTCACTTACTCTATTGTTATAGCAAAAGTGACAGCAATATCAAACTGAAAGGTTAATTGACGTCTTTGAGTAACTACCGCCGTGAGGCCTACTTCTCACTACGACAACGATAACGACCCAACCAATCGCGCTACTCAAACGTGTATGTTACGCCCAAAAGCCGAAAACGTTTATTAAGCAAAAAATTGCTCATAACGCGTTGTGGTCACAGTAAAACATCCACATGGCGAAATTCAAGTTATGGCTCTAATGAACCGCCTCACAACACGTTGTGGAAATCACAGAAAGATGGCTTGGCGACATTCGTGTCGTCGTGGCTGGCATGGTATTCGATCGCAACGCATTGTGACAATGAAGAAAAGCCATGACGCGTGAGGAAATATTCAAAATCACTACTCATAGAGCTTTGAGATATGGGTCCTACTAGCCTCGAAACATTTTAGTGTTGTGCTTATGATATAATTTATATCCTTTATTTATTATTGTATTGAACCTGTACCACACATACCTCCTTTTTCAATGATTCAAAGTGAAAATAGATAGGATGATGCTTAAAAATAATGCTTTTAATCTTGATTTATGAACTTTGGTGCAAATGGGCTTAAGGGAACGTCACGCATGTATAGGATAGTTTTAACGGTACATTTACACGCTGGTCCAGCCTAAACAAGCCTGTAAACTCAAAATTATAACCGGGCTGGTTGGCATTGATCTTGGAGGAGCTTTTTGTATGCAACCAGCGCTTTAAACGAGTAAATCTTCCGCAGGCTTTTAAGGCTTGGTCAGATTACCAAGAGAGTCCCCCTTCCATTATTTGACATAATTATTCTAAATTTAAATAATATACCTATATATGTAGTTACTTCTTGTTGCGTTGCACAATGTATATAGCTAGATGTGATGCAGTGTTCGAAAAAAAGAGTAGACAGCTTTCAAAATTGTTTAAATGTATGTTATATCTTTTCATATAAGAATTAAGTAACCACTATAAAGTGACCTAATCTCGAGTACATCAACATCTTGTTTCTTTTTGATTCAAGACATCTCAGTCGCGCGATTGGTGGTGCCGCCATTTTGTCTTACTGAGATAAAGGCCAACAGTAGCCCAAAGACGAATTTTGACAAATCCGTATACGTATCGCCAACGTGAAAGTTTTTTATGGGAATTAAGCAGCGCCTCTACCGGACGTAAGAACAAACTGACTTTTTCCATAGAAGCTTTGACGATGGCTATACCAATATGGATCTGTCAAAGTTTGTCCTTGGGGTACAGCTCAACAACGCAATACGTTCAATCAGACAGTTCAGTGTCATTAAACTAACATATCAAACAAGTAAGGCAGTATAAAAGTTTTTTTATTTTTTTTGCATTACCGTCGTCGCGTCAGTGGTAGTACCTACGTACTGCCATTGTATACGTACTGCGTCCATTAGTTCGCTTACATCAGGAAGAGCATCACTCTTTTGAAATAAAGGCAAGGATATGTCAAACGTGGTCTTTGCCTACATGATGAACGTTATGGTAATTGAACTGTCTGATAAAACATACGCGTCCAAAACGCATGCCAATATACTGCATGCTCAGTGCAAAAAATAATGTGATTAAAAATATGTAAATAAAAATTTAAATCGATAATTTTATATTCAATAAAAAAGCGCATACATTTGTATTAAAATATAAACATAAAAACTACCTACCAAGATATTATATTTTCAAAGAACTAAAAGCAAAAAAAATCGAGTGATATCTAACTACCTAACAATCACAAATCATAATTACAGCTCACCCGCGAGAGGCATGCCAGTCTCCAGTACCCCTAGCACGAACCAATATCGAATTCGTATCGTTTGCGAGTCCAAAATGTCATTGTCAAATGTGTACTGATTTTTAGTTCTCGTTAGGTACTTTGTGCCGCTGCTGTTCAAGTTTCCATACAAAATTTGGCATTGACATTTCGGTTTGCAAACTATTCGAATTCGATAATGGTTCGTGAAAGTGTGAAAGAACCAATATCGAATTCGAATAGATGAATTCGATAGGTGTCAAAAGTTCAAAAAGTTTTCTATGGAAGATTTTTTATTCTCGTTAGGTACGTCTGTTGTGGCGCTTTTCATATTTCCATACAAAATTACTTGACATTTGACTCGTATCAAGGTCGAAATCGAATAGTTTGCGTGCGAAATGTGATCATGTCAAATATTGCATGGAAACTCGAATAGCAGCGCCGCAACGGATGTAACGAGAACTAAAAAAAAACAGTACACATTTCACAATGACATTTCGCACTCGCAAACTATTCGAATACGATATTGGTTCGTGCTAAGGGTAAAGTACCCCTAGCACAAACCATTATCGAATTCGAATAGTTTGCAAACCGAAATGTCAATATCAAATTTTGGATGGAAACTTGAACAGCAGCGGCACAAAGTACGTAACGAAAACTAAAAATCAGTACACATTTCACAATGACATTTCGCACTCGCAAACTATTCGAATACGATATTGATTCGTGCTAAGGGTACAGTTCACAGAAACGAGTTAGTGGAGCTCTTTCTTTAACAAACTTACAATCAGATAATCGTGTAATAATTAAAGATGGAATACTGCGTCACTCCATAAAGGAGGCTATCCCTGTCGTTACTCAGGTCAATGACAGGAAAGTCGGTATAGCGCGACTCAAACCTATTGGCGGCGGTGAAGTTAGCGTTAGTCGCAAGCGCATCAATAAACGAAATGTGGGTAAGTGCGGGGTATTACCAATTTGGTACCTTCTGCTGATTTCAAAAACGTCACAGAGTTTGAACCGCACAATACTAGCTCGTTTCCGTGAATAAATTGAAAACAAACACAACCACTCATCTCACGAACATAACATTACACTAGCAGACGAGTCATTCCTAAAGCATGGCTGCGCATGCGTTTGTGAACGTAAATACGTAAGCTTGAGGTAGACGTTGCGATAATTTTAAGATTTGATAAATAGATTTTCCATACAGAATCCGTTTGCTCGTGATAAAGAGCCCTTGTGTGATGCACTTTAACCACAGGGTCTGGCTACTCCTAACCCGAAGAAAGTGGTTTTCTCAACATTAATTTGTAATGCTCTTCTGTGGATGACAGGAAAAAAAATAAGTAAATAGGATGAAAGAATTTGTTTTTACTTACTAGCGACAGTGATGTAGGCGTGCTGAGCTTCTGTGGTGGGGCTGGAATGTCCCGAGCTGTCCCCGTTCACCTCCACGACTGTACTCGACACCTGACGATATTAGTAGAGTTCAGGTTTCATCGTATCGTGTTGTACTCTACGACACTATAACTATCTAAATTCTAAAAGAGATCTGTAATAGTGGAGCTCTATTCTGTTCCTAAGATGGACAGCGGCTTCCGTTCATCTATCATGGACATTAGTAGGTACACAGTAGAAATTTTCACAGAATGTGCCCTTCTTACTTACTGTCTCTGTCATAACCATGATTGTGTACCCTATACTATGGCAAATTCACCTTCTTAATTTATTTTTTGTAATTTTCGTATAAAATAGTAGATTTTTTACTGCATGTTAACGTCCTAAGCTGTATAGACATATTTCTAATAGATTGCTGTAACCTAATCCATCCCAAGGAGGGGGGACCGGTGCTCTGAAATACAAGCTCGGCTTAGTTCAGAGACACCGACCTCTCATGACATCAGGTATGCAATGGTATTCATACTACGATTGTTAATTGTCTATCCATCCATATGCCTATAAAAATGTAATTAGTTATTTAAAAATTGTTGTCGATGCCAAAATGTTGTGACGAGAAATAAACGATTTATTATTATTCTATTGTCTATTGCCAATGTAACTAAAATCAAAAAGAAATAAATGGGATATCGCAAAAAGTACGAATGGAGTACTATTTAACAGTAGGGGTCTACTGCTCCCGCAGTAAAGGCGAGTGTTGATGCGCATCTCAAAGATGATGAAAGATCAGGTGTAGGTTTAAGGAGGCCCCTCCTAAAACCTTGCTAAGAAGTTCGTCTCTCAAATCAGATTGGAATGAATTTTCTTCACACAATCCGGTTTGGATAAACATATGTCTAATCCAATACAATAGCTAATGCATAAAATGCTTAAGCATTTAATGAACATTATTTGATGAAATATGTAATGTAGCTTGAGAGGAGTTCTACTCTCTCTTCTTTCTCGCTCTCTGTCGTCTTAGTCCCGCTATGCTTCGATGTTGACTAAGTATAGTTTATTATCCTTCGACTTTACCTTTGTAAGCTAACCATTCATAACTTGACTTTCCTATGACTTTGTTCCTATTACAGTTTGCTTAATATATTTTTTTCATTAATGAGAATGATAAGTAAGCTCGTATATATCGAGGTGGAACCATACCGGGGGTGATAAGATAACAAAAACAATAGGTTACCTGCTGAATGGCGTGCTGTAGATGTATAGAGTTGGGGAGTTCTGGTATGACGATGAGCTCGCGAACTGTGCTCGGGGACCCACCGCCACCAGCGCCTGCCGTCGAACCCTGAACGAAGAACAAACCCTTTCGACTAACTACAACTAATAAAAAAGAGGAAGATCGGAAAAGTAAGTGCCAGCTGGTTTAAGCAGATATCCTGATGATATTTTGGTTATATTTGATTTTATATGTTGATATTTTGCAGAATATTGTATGTTGATAGTTGCTTTCTTTTGGCCAGATAAAATACGAGATAAACTGGCGTCTATTCACGGCCGCTGCCCGACAATAGACAGGCTTATCATAGTTTAGTTACTAAGCAACTGTTGTTGTTTTCTAACAGGTAATTAACAGAATTATGCAAACAATTGAGCTCTGATAAGCTTATTATCACATACAGATCATAATTTATTTATAACTTTGAATGAAAATGGCAAATTTTCTATGAAACTCAGTTCCTTCCTAGAATAAAGAATTCAAAGCATAGAAATGAACATTTCAAGTACTACAAAGCAACTTATAAGTAGGAATAAGTCAAAGGGCTTATTATTTTAAAATCTGTCGACCCGGGCCACTTACGATATGAAAACACCCACTCCCCCCCCCCTTAAATTAGTAAATCAAATCAAATTAGTAATTAAAATCAAAGTATAGGTAAGTCACGAATGATTTTAAAGGCCTTTGCCGCCCCTCGCCCTATGGTAAATACGCCCTGAAGAAGTCAGGTTGGAAGCTCCAACCCAGGGCTAAAACAATCTTCCCTGGGATGAAGATGAAATGGTGGAGAGTAATGGGGCCTAATCAAATAAACAATAACATATTGCACAAATACCTGCGCTGGGGCCGCGAGCCGCGCAGCCATGACGGGCGAGGCAGGCGGCGACGACTCCACAAGCACTTCGTCGCCGCACTCAAAGTCTGCAATCAACAGATGAACATTATTAACATCAATTACTAATCCGTAATTTAGTGCTCTTGCAGTAGATGATCGCTAGATTAGACAAAGAAGGCAACTTGCGAGTGAAACTCTTGGAGTGAGTACCCTGCGAGCATTAATCGCTATAGGCTGTTCATATAGCCAAGATACACTTGTTTTTTGCCACAGACTTAAAATACACTATGGCCAGATTTTGCAATTCTTGACTAAAAACTTATCAGCCATTGATTACCTGACCAGAAAGAAAACTTTCTAACATCAAAAATTATAATGTATGCAACTCTTCATTTTGTTTCATCTCATTTCAGCACCAACCCAAGTGAAAAATATTTTGAGAAATCCAACTCTATTGGTTTGTTGAACCATAATCGATATTCAAATAACAAATAATCTTCCTAGATATGAAATACCACATTCACCGATTTGGGCACATTGTACAAAAGATGGTTTAACTTATTATATTTAGTTATTAAAAACTTATATATTAGGTATTTAAATTATTTTGTAATACCTCAAATATTATTATTTTGCACAACATAGAATTAAGTTTCAGTGCTAGTTATGTTACATTCTAGAGTGAGTATGTGCAAGCAGTACCTACTAACTTTAAGAAAATACACCTTTTTTTATAAATTTCATCATAATATTAATATTGGTGAAAGTGTATTTCATCCTTGCTTTATTGAAATTCAAATCTCTAACATAATTTCACAATTATTTTTAGCAAGGAAATTAATAATATAACATAATAAAAACGAAATCTTGGTTAGGTATTTGTGTAGGAAAATTATATTGAACTTCCCATTACTTCTAATGTAAGATCCAAATTGTTAAATACATACAAACTAAAGATTGATAATAAAGCAAGAACAATCCAAAATATAATCAAAATACATAATAAGTATTTAAAAATATATGTTTCATTCAGATTAATCTAATTGCATAATACTATCCCAAGCAATATAGATGTTATTGATCTGCCGGGAGCTCAGGTGGCAGAGAATATCCGTGGAGCGTATCCAGGCAACACCTCATCTGTCCCTCCGCACCTTCACTCTCAATACAACATCTATATAACAACACTCACTTTCCAGGTAAAACACGTTTTCAAATCCCATCTCAGACATTTTGATGTGTATAATAGCTTTACAATGAAGATATCACTATGACACAAGAGCAAAACATAATTGTGGGCAACTACAGATAAATACTGTGCTTGTATTGATCAAACAACCGTTACTATGTTGTTGCTGCTAAGGAAAGATTATTCTGACTCTGTTTCGTTTTATGAGTTTTTCATACTGTGAGCTGGGGTAAGTAGGGTGTGTAATTTTGTCTATTTAATGTACAGTAGGGTGCTAGCAGGTGCTCTGTTGTCATGCTTGGATGCCACCACCTGCCATCTGTTGATGTGATATGCATGGGTAAACAATAACTAATACATTAACTTAAAACACTACTTTTGCAATAAACTATAACTATTTTTAAATGCTAGACATGTTCATTGTCCAGACTTCTATACCGCTTTTTGTTGTGTATGTAATATTTGATTTACAGACAATGAGATACACAATGTGGTATCAACCAGTGCTTACAGTAGCTAATGTTGTTTATTAAATTTAAAACTTCTGTATGGATTTAGAGTACAAATATATATTATGTATTATTCAAGTTCTTTAATAGATATATTTCTTTACTTCACTGATATCTTTTATGTAATGAAGTCTCTTATTTTTACATGAATGTAAATGTTTAGTACATAATTGTGTTTTTGCTTTAGCATGGAATGTTAGGGAAGTTTTCCCACCACGTGCCGTACCAGGCGCTGCCTACCGTTCTCCCTCCGTTCCATTAAATACGATATAAGTTGATACCTACGCAACGGGTCGATCCACCGGGATAGGGGGATATCATTCGGGACAATTTCCGCCCTCTGAGACTGACGAGCTACACGTTTTTGCGCATTATTATTCTTTTTTCAGAAGTAGCAAATTAACACCAAAATCGTTATTTAATCATTTTAACTAAGTATAAAATTATGAAACCCACCTGCCAGCCATACTATGAACTGTCAAAATTCTCATTGCCCAGATGATTGTCTCAGTCTCACAGATTTTTTGATGCTTACTATTTTTGTGAGGAATTACAAAGAATAATTTAATTAACTTTTTGGATTTATATAACTCGTTAAAAAATTGATTGACTTATCAGTGTTGTTGTCTTGTAGCTACACCCGTTTCCTTGACTACGAACCCGGCCAAAGCAACCAACCAAAACTCAAACGCACGCTTTTCAATCGGTAGGTGGCGCCCCAACAATATATGGCTTTGAACTTTGCAGAATATTTTATTCTGCTTATAGAACGTAACCACTTTGTTTAATTATCTGGGTAGATACTTAGTATCTTATCCACTAGGTATTAAATAAAAAAATAAGAAATTGATATTTCTGTTCTTATTTCAGGGATCTATCCAAAGACAGCTTACATCATCAGGTAAAAAAATATGATCCCCAGTTTAAGTGTAAGGGAGACACCGTATAAAATAAAAAAAATATTTTGCCATTATGATTAAGCGTAAACGCCTATACGCAGTGGCGGTTAACCCTGCGGCAAGCCGCTTTTTCTTTTTCACGTTACGAATTTGCATATAAAAATGAAAAAGTGGTTAGCCGTAGCCGTGCTGTTAAATCGATATCAAATAGCCTTCTATGTTAGCTAAGCTGTGGTTGATCGAACGGGCACAGCACAACTTTGAGAGCGTCCGCTGCGTTAAGAGGGGCATGGAGCGGGCGTCCGCGCGTTTGTTTCATGTTATTTAATAGAGTGCGAGGCGTATCTCTACGAAATGGCATAAAAACTGCACGCCGAGCGGACGCCCGCTTCGTTGCCCTGCTTAAAGCAGCGCAGGCTCTAAAGGTACTTTGTTGACTATGGAATTCTGATTCCATGGGTGTGACGGTGGTCATGGTCTACTTTAAGAAACTTTATTTTTTATGAGAATAGATAATCATAACCGACATTAAAGTACTACTATAATTTATTTACTTATGAAAACATTACTTAAAATTCTTTATCTCTCATTTTTTTATTTAATCGGTTTTAAAATGAGATAAAATTCTAATATAAGAATTGAGTATTATCTCACCTTCAACATCAAATACATAAACATATGTAAAAGGATTGTCTTCCAATTTTATAGTATCTAACTTTTCTGCCATTCTTAGTTTTAAAAAGTTTTATATGAGAACAGCAGGTGGCTGGCGATGACGACAAAATCACCTTGGTAATTAAATTGTTTATCACGTGAAAATACAACACAAATAAACAACTCGTGAAAATCTCCGTAAATATTTGACATCGTTTTATTTTCTAATCACTTGAAGCATTTTTTGCCAGTTTTCACTCGTTTAGAAAGTATAAATGCTTACCAGTCCATATGCAACCTCTTTTTTTAATTTAACTAGGAACGAAAGACGTAAACAAATCCCGGTCATCCGTCAGGTTCAAGTATTATTATTACTAGGTATTTACTCAGACAAAGAGAAAATAAAAAAGAATTTTCGAAAGTGCGGCCTTTAATTAATGAATTTGATACATGGACATGGACAGCCAGTAACCAGTGTATCTCGCCAATATCCGCTTTCGCGAGATTACAGACTACTCCTCACGCACTGCATAAAGCGGTTACGCGGTTAGCGGTTAGTGTTGTGTTTTAAAGAAAAACTTTTAAGCTTTGGAGACAAACCTTTTATTGAATAGTAAGTCAATATTTACACCAGATTAAATTCGAGGTTGTTGATGTATGATATTATTTGGAACGTGTATAAATAGGGTGTAATTAGTGCAAAAAAATCCATCTTATTTTTAGAAAATATGACTGTTTTCATGGTATACGCTGGTGTGGCGATCAAGCTAGCGTATATTAGCTATACTCGAAAATAGCTTATTTTATTGTTAAGCAACCAAACTTTCACAGATATAGGTATGAATTCTGACAGATTCTTTTTAGGTTTACCTAAACTTTAATTTAATTACAGTGTATCCTTGTCATTCTCTATACAAAATGAAAAAGAGAGACTGATGTTAAATTTAGTTTTAAGCTAGGCAATCATGCCACAGTTGATATCATTAGTGTTCTAATAGTGCCCACACTATTCAAAAACTGGTAAAGATAGTTCCTAGAGCAACAAAATTGTAGAACAATAATTTTAAATAACCTTCAGATCTGTCGTCATGCTAGCGTTCACCAAATAGTGCTTATAGAAAGTGAAATTTTCTTTTAACATTATGATACATCTGTATTGAGTGCGTGAAATTCTGCCTCTGTAAGTATTTATGTAGAGTATTTTACTCTAAGAATAATAAAAAATAATTGGTGTTAACTTTATAAACCTAAGTTTAAGTCGAACCACAATAACTTTGCAGAGTCAATAGTCTGGTCACACCAGAAAAACTTGATATGGGGCTGCCATTTGAGTCGTCATTCAAAAATGTCTGTCTGTACTTTATCTACTGATGATCGTATAATAATAGAAAATGCTTTGCTTTGAGTTGACCATATTATAAGAGAAATGTGAAGAGACCACATCTCTACAATATTGTCTATTGCCTTTTGATTGTTGCTATAGCTACTGACTTGTTATCATTCTGTGTGTCACTTATGAAAATATTCTTTTTTCCTAAACTTATTGAGCTAACTAATATTAAATAAAAATACGTCTTTACTTTGCATACTTTATTTAAATCAACATTGATAAAACTTAAAAAGAAAGAAATAGAGGTTGAGTATGAAGTGCGAGATATTGAAAATGTAGAATGAGAGAAAATGAAGAAAAAACGAAAGAAAGTTAACGGTGACATTTAAGATGAAGGAATTAAAGTTTTGGTTTCGGATATATCTTTCAGTGAAAGAACACTCTATGTTGTTAGTTTTAAATTTTTGAGACAATTTATTTTTCTTTTTTTCATTTTATATACCTAATGGTAAAATAACTTAGATTAAAACAAGAAGGGAAGATACGGTACGCTCATACTAGCATCAAATAAAATATGATCCGACTCAACTACATAATCAACTCTCACACACTCACACTTCTGTAAATAAACATTCAATCGAGCGAGTGAGACAGAATTGTACGCTACAACGCAGCGCGAGCGAAACGGCCCGAGCCCGCATCGCTTTGCAGCCGACTGCATTTTCTTTTCTCTCTCTACGGACGGCTGACTTGTATTGTTGTTTTCTTTTAAGTTTTCTTGTTAACAAATGGCGAATCAGTAACTAACATTCATGGCAAACCATGATTTTTGAGACATAAATGTTTTTATAGTTTTACGAATGAAAAGTGTTTCCGTGGCATATTTGATCTTGAACTATTTGTGTTCTTTATAAAAGCATCGAAAGCATTGTTATATCTTTATAACACGAAATTGAGTGCACATGCATCCTGTTTGGCATATGTCCAATTGTGACTAAAGCGAATTGTGGTCATGCACCACAATTTGTGCGGATCTTCCCTTTTTGTTTTAATCTAAGTAAAATACGAATCGTCGAAATCAATCTCGGATATATGCGCGAGCAATAATAAACTATTTTTGACCAAAAAGTTATATTTACCTTTTATAAGCCAAAAATCCAAAATAGCATCAACTAACTATGCATGGCATGTTAGCTGAAACGCATTACCTGTTTTTATTTTTCTTAAAATTACGCAACAGAATATATGTACTGCATTGTACTAAATTAAGAGTTTCCTTGCTTCGTCTTCCAAAGTATTCAACAGATCTTCACCTAATGAATATGGGACCATCTCGACAAAAAAACTGATTTAAACAAAAAACGTTAGCGTTTTAATATTTCTTATTTAAATACGATTTTGAAATTGAAGTTTAGTCATGTGATGTGCATATGGTACAAACCAAACTTTCACATTCTTTACTAGTTTCGATTTTGAGATAGACCACGTAGCATTTTTTTTAAATAACAACTTTCACGGTTACCTTTTTCTAAGGGCCTCCTTAAAACCTCCTCCTTTTTAAGTCGGTTAATAACAAAGTATCAGGGAAAATTTATTTACCTACTCAGTACTGCCATGTGGAAAGTACGAATTTTTGCTAAGTCTACTGCTTATCGTGGTTCGACTGTATTAATAAGCCGTTTTCGAGAATGTCTTGATGTACGCTAGCTTGATTTGAAAAAGGAAGATTTTTTTATTTTTGCACGAATAAGTAATTAGGCTCTACTTAGGCAATAAATGATAGCACAAGTAACAAAATCAAATTTGATCTGAAGTACGCTAGCTTGACGGTAGCCCATGGACATACTCGTATGTATATTTTACAAAGAAAACTGTGCGTACTTTGTCCGATAAAATGGGCCGAGTGACAGATATAAGGCGGAGCCCTCTTACCCTTTCTAATAGGATGACCATGACTTTTATTTTTAGTAAGCCAAACAGCTAACAATTATTTTATTGATAAAATTATAAGAACAATCCTATAATTCCCAAATTAAATCATTTTTACTGCGAATACAAAGTTGTTATCCAGATACATTTTAGTACAGTACAACCATATTCCGCCCTATTGGCATGCATAATAATAAGATGGTTGGGTCAAGAGTCAGATGCAGAAAGCAGTACTTCTGGACACGGCTCGTATAGTGAGGAGGTTCCTGTCTCTGGATCCTTAACCACCGGCAGCAGGGACCCTGATCTTGCTGCCGATGGGGAACTGCATTTTTGTATTTTAAATGTTATTTTTTTTAATGTTATACATTATAAAAAAAAAATATTTAGATTAAAATTTTGTACGTATTTGAAATGAAATAAAGGAAATACTTAATAATAATAATATTTGTATAAATCGATCATTATTTCATAGTCAAATTATTACACTTTACATAGTTTATTTAAAATTTCAATGTATCATAAATTTAAGATTGTATAGAAATTTTGTCTTCCAAACATGGACCGTGTAGTAACATTTTTGTACTAAAAAATTGTAATTTGTGTTTAAATATATTGTTCATGGTAATTTTTCGCACACTTTCAGGCGATTTACTATAAAGAAAAGGAGCATTGTAAAATACACTTTTCTTAAATAGTGCCGTATTACAGGGGACTACGCGAACTTTTCCAATACGTCGTTAACGAGGTCTGGACATAAATAATTTTAGATGAGCTTTAACAAAGATAGCGCATTTGAAAATGTAAAGGAACGGCAGTGTCAATATTTTTAACCCCCTAAAAAGTGATGCACATGATTCTTTATGCTGTACATTATATATGAATATGACGCATCTCTTTTGCGCCCTGAATGCAATAATTGCAGTAGAATTTCCCTAAAAGATCAATCCATATCGTAAAGTCGGTGCTACTTTTCCATAATATGGTGTCACAACACAAAGTCGTCTC